CCATAAACGCATGAAAATGACCAGCCAGAGCTAGCAATCCTCAACAACTGTTTAATATCTCACCACGAGTGAAAGTTCTGTTTTAACAAATTACACCCCTAAACCGCATTGACACATGGCTGTGAAAAGTCAAATATGAGACTAAAGAGAGCAGCGTAGCAACATGCGACTCATGTTGCCCCCATACAATGTTCCATGAGATGACTGGGTTATTTTAGTGCTTTAGAATTAGCTTTTGCTAATTTTTTTAGTGTGTTAGTGCTTTAGAATTAGAGGACCTATATTTTTGAGTTAGTGCTTTAGGGCTAGTGGAACAAACTTTTAGGTTAATGCTGCCCACCACTGGTTTTTACAAACCACTGACCTGATCAGTGTTCAACGATACAGTCAAAACCCTGATGTTAACTCTTCTGTATTCTGATTTGGGGACATGAACAGATTCTTCAATGATTCAGCAGGCGTGCACTGGCCTCTGTGTAGTCATGTGTGTCTCCTTTGAAGGGCAGGGATGGGGGGTGGTTACAGAGGCCCATCAGGAAGATGATGATGGTACCAAGAGTCATCACCGGAGTGATGAGGAAGAGGCAGAGGCGGTCCACCGTCCGAGCAATACCGCTCCAGTTGTCCTTCTCCTGTGAGGACAGTGGACAGGTTTTAGTTCTAAATGTATCCATGTTTTTAAAGAAGTCCTTCTGTCTCACCTCGTTGTAGTCGTTCTTGTTGTGCATGTGTTTGACGATGTAGTTGGCTCCGTCCACAGCTGGTTTGATCTCGCCGTACAGCTGATCCGTCACGCTGTCTTCCTCCTGTGGCTTCACCACTATATGCACAGAAACTGGATCAATCTAAGGTAAAGATCCTGACGTATGGAGTCAGATCTGCTGAGTTCATCAGGTTTGAGGGTCTAAAACTGATGTTTGTACCTGCGGCAGGCGTGGACCGTTTGGTAAACCCATGTCTCGTCGACTGCTTCTCGAACATCAGCTCACTGCGGGACTTGATGCTGTAGTACTCCTC